TGCTCACTCACTCACAGCAGGGTGGTGTGAGCCTTGCAATCAGTGACTTGCAAGTTAAACCCGTGAATTGCTGCAAGACTGTGTTCAGTGGTAAAAAATATACGGGAAGTCGCGAATGTCTCCATGAGAAGGCACATGCCCCACGGCCAAACAGCTGCACTGGGATTTGGACGAAGGAGTGGGGCAGCTCTTTCCTGCCACTCCACGCTGCTCTCCCATGAGCTGCTGCTGAGTATTGAGGGTACCAGGGAGCCCCGCAGCAGGTGTGGCCACTGTCAGAACATCAGATGTCACTCAGGGAGATGTGACTCGTGTTGAGACACTTGCCTTCCTGTGTGCAATCAAGGGAATGTCTCCAAAGACACAGATGGATGGATAAGGAAAAAGAAAAAAAAAAAGGCAGACACTCCCAGGGAGGAGGCTGCTTTGGAAGGGGAGGAGGGGGCCCAGGAGTCCAGGGAGGCAGGCGGCTGCTGAGCTGTCTTCCGGTGGTGGTGGCCAGCGGCACCGTGAGAACCAGTACAAGAAATGTCAGCGGTGGCCAGGAAGAGGGACAGCCCGGAGGGACAGGGGGTTGCTAAGGCTGCCCTGTGTCCTGTCTTCCCCAGATGTTCACAACACATGTGCCTGGGCAAGAGCGGCAGCCCAGGCTAACCCTGAGGGTCTGACAAGGGGACAAAGCCATGAGACAACTTGTGTGACCCAAAGAGCCTCAGGCGACATGGATCATCCAAATAGCAGGTGCAAGGGCAGCAAGACTCCAGACTCTTGACCTTTGAAAGGTGTTAATAAGCCCAGGGTGGCCAGTGAGGTCCCACACGCAAACCCTCTCCTTGCACCAGCGAGGGAATTATGGGACTTGGGGTGGCCTGGCTCAGGCACAGCCGACCCTCGCTCCGTCCTGATTACACAGATGGAAGACCATCCATGCCCACCGTGTGCTGGACGGGAGTCAGCCGGGAGGGTGCGGCTTTCAGTGTCATGGGGAGGGGAGGATGAGGAGACCCTGCACCAGAAAGCCAGCGAGGGCGAGGCGACAGAGGAGCAGCTGTGCGAGCCATGCGCCTGGGAATGACCTCCCAGAGAAGTCTCAGAGCCATGGTGCTGAAGGGGGTGCCACTCAGCACATTCAGTGCCCCCTGGAGGCCGTGAGGAGCATGAGGGGGCTGGACCAGCACGCGGGCCCCACCCCAGGTGGGTCTGTAGACACTGGGCTCTGCTGCCTCCCCTCCCTGTGGTCCTGGGGCAGCCCCCGCAGCACACCTGGCAACAGTGCCAGGCCCCTCCCCACATACACATAGCCCTGAGGTGTGTTCCCTGAGTGGAGGGCCACCCCCGAGGGCTCAGAGGCACCGGACCCTGAGCGTGAACATGGTACCCGTGGGGAAGCCACAACCAGCCTGGACAAGCTGAGGTGGAAAACAGCGGATTGGCCTGATAGTCATATCACGGATCTCTCCCTGGGAGGCACCCACGGGGACCCTGGGCAGGTGCCAAGACCTGGAGTTGGGCTAGGGAGGCCAAGCAGGAAGTACTCCCAGAAGTACCACATAGGCCCCTATAAGAGGAAGGATGGAGGGGGTGGGAGGGAGGACGTGGAGCCGTTCAGGTTGCCAGCTGTGCCGGGTACCGCTGCAGCTCCTGGGGGCTTGGCTGGATTGGGGAATACGTGAAGAACAGCCAGAGAGCGAGGCCCCCATCAGCTGCAGATTGAGGGGAGAGGGGAAGAAGGCCGTTTTCCAAAGTCCCTGCAACCAAAGTGTCTCCTCTGGTCCCAGGAGCCACCTCTACTGCAATCCCGGCTCCGATGGCGCCCAGGAATGTGTGTTCTGTTGCTGCTAAGAAACCAAGTTTTCGCCAGCGCCGCGGCTCACTAGGCTAATCCTCCGCCTGCAGCGCCGGCACCCCGGGTTCTAGTCCAGGTCGGGGCACCGGATTCTGTCCCGGTTGCCCCTCTTCCAGGCCAGCTCTCTGCTGTGGCCCGGGAAGGCAGTGGAGGATGGCCCAAGTGCTTGGGCCCTGCACCCCATGGGAGACCAGGAGAAGCACCTGGCTCCTGGCTTTGGATCAGCGCGCCGACCTCAGCAGCCATTGGAGGGTGAACCAACGGCAAAGGAAGACCTTTCTCTCTGTCTCTCTCTCTCACTGTCCACTCTGCCTGTCAAAAAAAAAAAAGAAAGAAAGAAAGAAAGAAAAGAAACCAAGTTTTCAAGACCTCCTGCAATCACATACTGGCTTTGTTTAACGTCGTGCACAGAAGCAGCACACGCTGTCCCTGTGAGCCTGTGCAGCTGGACAGACAGCGCCCGGAGTCCTGGGGGTGCCCTGGCTGCTAGGATGCGTCACGTGCACCTGCAACTCCCTCTTCTGCCTCGGCATGCTGCCAGGAACTTAGAAATACTCTGTTGGTGCACTTGACAATTTGATAGGGACTTTGAGCAGTCAAGTCTGTTTGTTCTGGAAGACGCTGGGCTTGTGCTGGCTGATCCCCCGGGCTGGGTGTGCAGGAAACTCTGGAGTACAACACATTCTCCACGTCCTCCGTGGGAGCCACCTCCCAAGCCTGCACTTCCTGCAGCCCTGGGGGACACCACACGTGGTGATGGGTTTTACGTGGAAGGGGTTTCTTCAAGCTACATGGAGGTCCCCTTCCTGCAGGACTTACAGAGCTTTAGTGTGCAAATGTGCTTGGTGGGTCTCTGATGGGGGGCTCTGTGGTCCCTCTGGTTTGGATTAGGCTGAGGACCAACCTCTGGGAGGTTCTGAACAGAGGGTACCTCGGTCGGTTATGCCACACTCAGTGCCTCAGATTCTCACGCAGGACTGGGACCCCTGTCCACCCCTCTCGGGCCAAATTCATCAGGGCCTTCCTGGCCCCAGTCCTCCCCCAGAGTGGCAGGGCCCCTTCCAAGGGTCTCCCCGTCTCGTTCTCCTGTAGCTCCTGGGCACAGTGCTCCCTTTGTGAGCACTTACCCTGTGGAAGGTGATTGAGTGGGCACAGGGGACTCCGCACAGAGCAGCCCAGTGCAGGGTGACAGCTCTGGCTGGACCCAGCGTGCACTCAGGCCTTATCAAACCTGCTCACGCCATCCCCCCAGTGCCACATCCCCACATAGCCAGGCCGGGTGCTGCCCTCCAGGGTGGTCTCCACAGCTTCTGACTTCAAGTCCCTGTCTCAGTATCCTCACTCGCCCCTGCTCTGGCCCTACAGCGAGCAATGGCCTGGGAGCCAAGGAGCCTGGTTCGTTTCCTGCTTCTCTCCCAGCCCCCTGGGCCTGCTCTGAGGCCTTTGCAGAATGGGGCACAGAGCAAATGGGCTAAAAGTGGGAGGAGTGGAAGCGCAAGCAATGCAAGGGAATGAGACGCCGCCTCGGGCAGACCTGTGGTCACTGGCTGAAGGCTGCGGTCACTGGCTGAAGGCGGCGCTCACTGGCCGGCTGGCCGGCCCTCAAGCTCAGAGCCTTCCATGCTCCCTCCCTCCCACCCCCGACTCTTGGGCCCTTGGCCTTGTCACTCAGGGTTCTGCACAGGTTGGGCACAGGGTCTAGGGCTGGTTCTGAGGCTACAGTTGATACACAGTGGAAGACGTGGAGCAGAAGGCACGGTCAGCAGCCCCGCACACAGCCTGAGAGCTGCACCTTTGCGAGTGTGGGGTCTGGGGGACAGTGGGTTCAGATGGAGGCCCCCACTTCTGAGAATCGTCCTCAGCTTGAAAGGGGACCGGAGTGCCTTCGTCCTGGGGCTGGACACAGGATCGAATGAGATGTGCAGAGCCTCTGAGAGCCTCATCCTCAAAGCCGGCCTGGGGCCTGCAGCTGGGAACGGTCACCCCCCAGCCAGGACCCCAGTGCAGAGGGCCAGGGCTGGCGCCCAGACCCAATTCTCGCAATGAAGGAACCAATGCATGCCTGTTGGTTCTGTAATTAAGCCAAATAAACAAATTAAAAACCCTGGGGCTTGGGTTTTGTGTGTCTGTCTCAAATTTCATTTTTCAGCATTTCATTTGTATTGCCTTGTATGGAAGCATTGTTCTTCAATGGGTTGAAAGTCTTACAATAACCAGCCCCATGCTATAATCAGATTTCAAATTTTTCCCCAAGTGCGACACACAGCCAAGAAGACAGTGGGGCTATGGTGGGTCGAGCGCCTACCAGGGTGAGGAATCCCCGGAGTCCCCCATCCCTGGGACAGGAATTGCTTAGGATTCGCACAGGGAATTCTACACTGGGGTCCAAGCACAGGCTAGGTGGGTGCACACGGAGCTCCTGGGCTCCAGCAGCACGCTCTGAGCAGCAGGGGTGCCGTGACCTTGACAGGAGCCAGCTCTGGTCCTTGCACCCCAGGCCCCTGGGACCTGCCTAGCCCTGAGCAGGGTACCAGCCTGCTGCCGCGGCTGCTCTGTGAGCCAGGAGGGCCAGCTTGGTGGAGGGGAACCCTGCCTGCCACACGAGGCCAGCCAAGCACCCAGGGACTGAGTAGGAGACACACAACCCAAGCCTTGCAGCAGGCTGCACTGCCTAGGTGGGGCAGTCTCCACCTCGGGGGGCCATGGTTCACCGGCCCGTCCACTCATCATGGCTCACTCGAAAGGTGTCAAAACAGTTGTCAATGGTGAGAACATCCCCTTGATTTCATCGGGAAAGACTCCCAGGAAAACCAGACAGGACTGATGCGACAGGCAAGAAAACCCCAGGCGTTATGCCTTCCTACACCTGCTTCTGGTTTTCTCTCTTTTGAAAGGAAGAAGGCGGGAGGAAGGGAGGGAGAGAAAGAGAATGAAAGCTAACCACCTCCACACTGGGGAAATACAGGTGTTTATTTAGGACTCCCTGCGTCTTTTAGATTTTCTCTAAATGGCATATTTTCAGGGCTTTTTTCTTTTTAATTCGACAGTGTGTTCTAGAATTGATCCCTGTAGGTACAGGTGGCTTGGTTCACTCAAGTGCTGAATAGTAGTCCGTCGTTTCAATAAACAAAAGCTGATTCACACCTTACGCGTGGGCTACGGGGTTGCTTTCTGCTGGCCACAGCAGGCAGTGCTGCCACGAATACTCCCGTGCCCACGTGCGCCAGCGTCTTCCTAAGGCAGACTCTGAGCACACCCGCTGTGCTGCACCACTATTTAATTTTGCTTTGGACCTTGATCTTCGACTTTAAATGTGCCATCCCTCTAGCAAAACAGAACGTGGGCAGAGCTGGAAGTGCTAGGCCAAGGAATCGCGTCTTCCATCGCCACGTGGACGCTGGGAGCCCGTTCCCGGGAGAGGGGCTGCTGGGACCAGCGGGGCTCCTCGCAGCATCTGCTCATTTCATCAGGACTCCGCTGTGTGTCCTTGGAGGCCCCAGAGAAGAGCTTCAGAGTTGACGAACGAGGGCAAACAGCCGTGGCATCTGCCTGTGACATGCACAGGGCCAGGCTGGAGGACCTGTGGCCGACCTGTGCGTCATGTGCGTTTGTTTTTCCCCGTGGGGCAGCTGGTGCGGCTCAGCAAACACCGGGCAGCTTGCAGCTGGGAACTGGCTCCAGACCTCAAAGGAGGGCCAAGTAGGCGAGGGAAGGCGGCGGGAACAATCCACACCCATGTGATTCCGTGGAAGTTTTCAGTACCTCCTTAAAGAGTAGCTCCCTGGGCCACGGGTGGGGTCTTTCATTCTTCCGGTGTTACTTTTACTTGGCTTGAGGCTGTTAAGTAGGCCGCAGGGCAAGCTACGCTGCCAAGACCTAACTGTGCTGAGTTTCTACAGGAGGGTGGCAGGCACCAGCACAGGGCGAGGTCACCTGGGAGTGGGGGACAGCCTTGACCTTGGACTTAGGAACAGCTAGGAGGCTGTGTGTGTACATGAGGTGCTCTTTTTCAACCTTGACCATCATCGGAGTGCTTCCTCCTCCTCCTTTGTTGAATTCCCTACTCCCAGACTCTACCCATCAGGGCCCCATGCATAGGCAACGCAGCGGGGGGAGGTCAACAGGAAATACCAAATCCAAGAGCGACAAAAGCCTGGTCCTCTTCTGAGAGACTGGCAGGAAGAGTGTAGATCAGCTTTGTGACTGAGGGGGCGTCACTCGGGTGTATCTTTCTATGCTTGACAGAGGAGAGCTTTAACTCTTTATTTTTAAAAGGAAGCCTTTTGTTTCTTTTTCTCTTGCATTTTCAGGCTCATAGGATGTCAGAGATTAGCAAATACCTGACGCTACCTCTGTGACTCCCCTCCCAGCTTCTGGAGTGGGGACACTGCAGCCCGGAAGCTGTGTGCCCACGTGGTGCAGCTTCTGCCTGCTGACCCTGGGTTTCTAGCCCCGGAAGGTAACCTTTCCACGGACAGTCACCTGGCTCCCGCTGTGTGCCTGGCTTCTCTCCCCGGTGCCTGGCTTGTGGTGGGTGCTGGGTGAGTGCCTGCTGGGGGGATACCCCGCTCTGCCTGCTGCTTGTCTGTCACCACCACTGGGCACAGCGACAGTGGGCAGCACCCCGGAAAAATCAGGGACCCCCACTGAGCCCTCAGGATGCCAGAATGAGGCAAGGGAGGTCCAGAGGCACCTGCTGTGGCCGGGTAAGGCTCCTGGTTCTGCTTCCATGCCAGCCGAGGGGCAGTTGGGGCAGCAGGGTGAGGGGTGGTCTATGCAGGCGTCTTGCACTCGGATGGTCACTTAAGGAAGCCCTGGGTACTCAGGATTCCAGTGCCAAGGCTGGGAAAAGCACACCCAGAGTCCAAACCTAGCGCTGCTGCAAGGGTCAGCCCCAGGCAGGGCAAGGCCCTTCCCACAGCTTGGCCTCTGGGGAGCCTCTTGCCCTGCCCTCATCCTCATGTAGCCTCAGCCTGGCCGCCCCCCTGTTAGAAGCGTTGGCTGTCCCCTCACCTCTGCCAGTCTGTGACTCCATGAGCCATCAGCTGAGCCCCTGAGCCCACACGAGAGCCCCCAAGTGCCTCTGACACACAGCCCAGGGTAAGGCAGAGTCCAGCGGGACTCCAGCATCGTGGAGACACCACACCTGCCGGCTCAGGTGAGCAGACAGAGCATGAAGGTGGGGGCGGCAGAGACCGCAGGAGTCAGACTCAGCGGCAGGAAATGCAAGGTCACCTCCCAAACAGAGGGCCTGATGCAGGAGCTCCGCACGCCGATGCCCCTGCCCACCCGATGGCCGGGTGACAGAGCTGGAGACCAGCGTGCCACTGGCCTTCCATCCGTCTGCTCGCAGGGTGCCCGCAAAGCTCACTCACCTTCTGGGACCCCGACGTGGAGCTCTTGAGCGAGCCCCGCTTGAAGGAGCTGCTCATCTTCCTCACGGAGCCCATGAGCCGGCCTGGGGCGTCGCTGGTGCAGCCGGACCCTGCCGCAAGGGGCCACCCCTGTGCAGGTGAGCAGAATTGGAGAGACCCACTCAGCAGCACCCACGGTGCAGGGTGAGGCCGGCAGCGGGGACAGCCCCGGTGGAACCTGTGCGGGTGACCGCTGCCGACTCCAGCCCAGCGCCCCAGGCTCTCTCCTAAAACATCTGTAATCGGGCTTAATCCCTCCCTCCCCACAAGGTTTATAGGGGGGCAGATTTAGCAAATGGCGATTGAAAGTAAATCCACTTTGAGAAAGTGCTGGCTGCAAAGGGTAGCCAAGTAGGAAGGATTTGGCTGTTGAGAGAGACGCACAGCCAGAGCTGAGAGCCACCTGGCCTCACCCCTCCCTCCCGTGGTCCGGGGTCCCCTGAGTCTCAGAGCAGGATCCCCACCCAGGCCCCAGCCCCTGGGGGTGATCACAGCTCCCAACCCGCGCAATCATTGAGTACCTCCTCCCCTGTGGCCTTGGCATTGAGTCATGGGTACCCTCTGCTGGGTGCTGGTCTGCACCACGCTGCACTGGGGGGGTCTCCCTGTCATTTCCCATTTCTGGGGTGCCCGCCTTGCCCCTCTATAGGGCAGCTGGTGGTGCAGGCCTGGGTGTGTTGCTGTGCCCCAGGCACAGACGGGGCAGGGAGCTGGATGCGAGTCAGCCTTGGCACCGACCTCCTTTCTCTCCTCTGGGCTCCGTCAGCACCCCCCACCCCATGTACAGAGGAGGGAACTGAGGCTCGGAGGACAAGGCCGTGCGCTCCTGTTGCCAGAGCTGAAAAGAAGTCCAGTAAAGGATAAGTGGCCAAGTCCACTTATAAGTGAAGCCACGCTCCACTTGTGCGTCTGGCTTCGCACCCCAGGAGGCAGGTGCGAAGAGTGGAGACCCAGCCTCCGCCTCTTGGGATCTGGTTAGGAACTTGGAAGGGGGTCTTCCTCCCCAGAACATCTCCCACCCGCAAGTTCAGCCTCTGCCTGCCACCTGCCTTCCCTTACCATCCCTTTGAGTTGCCATGGTTTGAGCTTCTCTGATGGGCTGATGGGCCACGTGTGGTATGCACCCAGTGCTGGGGACACTGGGGAACAGCAGGTGACAGCCCTGCCTTCCTGGAGCTGCCTGGTTGGGGGAGGAGAGATTGACACCTGAAGCAACAAAGCACGTGGCAGCTGGCTGGTGGCTGGGAGGTGCCAAGGAGGGAGAGAAGGCGGGGAGGAGGGACCGCCTGGGGTGCTGGGTTCTGAGCCTGATGGTCTGCTGGGGGTGGGGGTGGGGGGAGGGGTTGCGGAGAGCAGGGAGGGAGCAGAGTGCAGGGGTCTGCGGGGAGGATTTCCAGGCAAAGACAGTGGCAGGGCAAAGTCTTTGGCTTGGGAGCAGGGTGAGGGCGTTCTCAGAAGACTAGGAAGGCGGAGGGGACGGGAGGGGAGGGGACAGGGCGACTGTGCCGGCCCTGGAAGTCTTCTCAAGGGCCTGGGGTTTGTCCCCACGCCGTGGTCTGCACTGCAGGAGAAAAGGACCACGGAGGCTCCGGAAGTGGACTAGCTGGAGGAGCAGGGCAGAAGGGGAGCCGGCCCGCTGGACGGCGGCAGCCTGGAGCAGGGCGGGGGCCTGACCCTGCTGAGACTCTGAATTAGAGCTGAGTGGGTGCACAGGAGCCTGGGGTAGGGCAGGTGGGGCAGACAGAACCAGGCAACCTCGGGCTTCCGGCCAGAGCTGCTGGGAGGGTGGCGTGCCCCGCGCATGAGCCTTCTCCAGGTTCCTTTTCAGTGGCCTAGAAGCAGGTCAGGGTCGTCCTGCTGACCTGGTTTTCCTCCTGGCGCCCTCACACAAATCCTCAGCCGCCCGCGGGGTCTGGCCTCACGCACACAGGCTGCAGTGGCTGCAGACCCGATGGATGGCTCTGCTCAGCCCTCCTCTCTTCTCAGCACCCCACCCGGATGCCCAGGGGCACCTGCAGCGCTGGCTGCCCTCAGGGCTCCATTCCTTGTGCCCATCGTCAGAGCTGACTCCACCCGCACAGCTCAGAGCTGCAAGCCTCTGACAGCCGGGGTCCGCTCTGTTTCCCACACCTGGTCTTTCTCCCAGTTTCTGGTCTCAGGACGCCAGCAGCAAGACACAAAGTCAAAGGCCTGGGAGCCCTGAGATGCCTTTGTGCTCTGGGGCTCCCAGCTCCCGTCACCGCCAAACCATGATCTCCCAGCCAGCTGGAAGGTCGATGCAACTCACAACCGTTTGAAAAGAGTCCATTTTTAAAAATGCAGATCTGGCCAGGAACGCTGCTTCTTAAAGTCCCACAGGGCTTAGGACTGAACCCAAGGTACTGCTTCTCCCGCTCCCCTCCCTCGGCCGGGCTCCTGCCTGCTCCTGGGCTCTGTGGAGGTCTCCTGTCCTCAGCAGCTGCTCCCTCCCTGTCCCAGACCTGTGGCTTAGTTCCAGCACTTCTTCAAGTTTCCGACCATAGAAAAAGCATGGAGACCTTCCCTATGGGGTTTCATGAAGTTGGCACAATTCTTTCATCAAAGCCAGGGCGGGAGAAGGCAGCAGGGCCCGTTCATTTGTGAAAGGAGACAGACTCATCACGAATGTGGCAAAGGGGATGGGCACTTTGGCGCAGCCATTGAGCTGCTTAGGACACCTGTGTCCCTTACTGGAATACCGGGGTTCAAGTCCCAGCTCCGCTCATCCTGCTAAGGGCACCCTGGGAGGCAGCAGCCATGGCTCAGGGGGTTGGGTCCCCCCCATTCTCTTGGGAGACCTGGTTTCATTTCCAAGCTGCTGGCTTTGGCCTTGCCCAGCACCTGCTGCTGTAGGTTTTTGCAGAACTACCAGATGAGACCTCTCTGTCTGTCTGTGCCTGTCTTTGTGTCTCTCTCTGCCTGTCCCATAAATTAATTCAATTTAATTAAATGAAAATAGAGAATGCACCAAGTGAAGTTCTTAAAGAACAACACCATGAGGCCAACATGGGTCCAACTTTCTCCCAGGAATGCAAGGATGACTCAGCACTGGAAAATCCACCCACAGAGTTAAGCACATTAACAGATTAGCAAAGAGAGGCTCCACGATCATCTCAATAGTGGCCAAAACCATATGGTCCATCTTAGTAGGGGAAAAAGGAAGAAACCCAGGCACAAACACCCTTGACAATGCTTGGTAACCATTCTTTCTTAACACAGAAACAAGCAAACCCAAGCCCATAGCAACCGAAGAACACAGGCAACCCCTCTAACCTCGCGACAGATGTCTACCAGCGGCTCCCCAAGATGACACAGAGAAACACTGGAAACATTCTTACAGACGCCAAGGACAGAGCAAAAATGTCTACTATCCCCACAACTGCGCAACATTTTCTGGAGTTCTAACCAGTGCAGAAACGTAGTAAGACAAGAAAGAGAGAAGTAGTATAAACACAGGGAAGAATAAAAACTTCTCTGCCCATAAAAATCCAGGAAAATCGGCAAACAAGCTGTTAGAATTAGTAGGAGGGCTCGGCAGAATTGCCAGATACTGATTCAACATAGAAGAAAACCGTGGATTTCCTGTCTTCAAGCATATTCAATCAGAAAACGATTCCAATCAAGTTGCAAAATAATCAATAAGACACCTGATAGCAAGACTAGCAGAAGCATGAAGACCTATGTGAAGGAAATAATGAAATCTCAGTAGAGCACAGGAGAGAAGACATTGCAAAACGCACCTTCTCGTTCATTGCTGGAGTACTTTGTGGAAATCAATCTAGCCGTATCTCTAAAATAAACCACACATACCCTTGGACCGGCACCTGCTCTTCTTGGAACCTAGCCCTTCGAAGTGAGAGCTCTAACATGTAGAAATATTTTTTCAAGCACTGTTTTGGGAAACCTGAAAGTAAAGTCAACGCCCTTTAGAAGAGGAAATAACTCAATACAACACGGTAGATGCCTACCAGGAAATAATAGGCAACCACCGAAAACTTGAGGTCAATACCAGTTACTTTGGAAGGCTACCCATAATATGCTGTGGAAAATAGGATGCAGAAGACGTAGACAAGCGTATACACTCTGATGTAATTTTGTCATTAAACAAAACATAAATACGGGTATAGAGAAGCTTCTATCTGTGTCTCCTCTCTCCTATGAATGTTGCTGTGAACACTGAGAGGAAGCATGGATGTGACACAGTTAGCCTGTTTCAATTTTGGTTTTAATGTTTAGCATCAGACCGTTTCTTGACCCACAATAAAAAATACCGATGCCTGCGCCTTCCTTCCTTTTCGTTCTCTGGCTCAGAAAGAATCACTTTCAGTTCATCTGTCTGCTTCTTTGTTATTTACCTCTTTATTCTAAATAACATGATTTTAACTTGATTTTCTGATCCCACGATTTCAGACATTGTTCACCGACTTTCTATTAAGGAAAACAAAGACCCAGGTCCCGCACGCTAGCCCTCCTCAGGCCTCAGCCATGCCCCTCAATAGTGCCATACGCCGCAGTAAATCAGTCTCTAGTGTTTTTGAGACATTGTGTTTACAGTTCATAAAACATTGCTGTAAGCCCCTTCCAGCTTTTTGTTTTGCCTGGAGTTGTTACTTGCTGGATCTTCCTTTATTTAATTCATTTAATGCCTGACCCGGACTCTCAGTCTCCATATTGCCGTATTGGTGACATGTGCCCTCCATTTGCTTCCTGGGGACGCGTCAGCTTCTGTCTGGTTGCCACAGCTGTAGCACTGGGGCTCATCTCCCTGGGACAGCCCCCTGCCTGCTCCCTGGCCCCATCGCTCCCTCTCTCTTGGTTTGCTTCCATACTTAGTGCTCAACAGCCTTTTGACGAGAATGTACGGAAATTAAAATTCTTTGAGTTATTATATAGATGCAAATGATTTTATTCAACCTTCATATCTGATGGATAGTTTGGTTGAGTATAAACTGTCAGGCAAGAAATCATTTCCTTCAAAACACCAAAGGCGTTGCTCCACCAGTTCAGCCCTCAGTGTTCTCTGAGAAGTGCCGTACCATTTTGATTCATGATTTAGAAAAAAAGTATTTATTTATTTATTTATTTGAGAGGGAGAGGAAGAAAGAGAGAGAGCCTTTATTCTTCTGGTCCGCTACCCCAAATGCTTGCAACATCCATGGCCGGGCTGGGGCTGAGGCCAGGAGTGGGGAGCAGATCCAGGGTTCCCACATGGAGCCCCGTTACCTGAGTCTTCCCCTGTCTCTAAGGGTGCACTTGAGCAGAAGTGGGATCACAAGCCAGAGCTGGGAGCTGCACCAGGCATCCCCATGCAGGATGCTGGCTCCCTAACTGGCACCTTAGCCACCAGACCCAGTGTTCACCATGGTTTCATGCTGGCATTTTTTTTTTAAGATTTTGTTTATTTATTTGAGAGGTATGTGGTGGAATGAGGTGAAAAGTTCATGCCAAGATGGCCACTGAGGTGAAAAGGTCATGCCAAGATGGCCACTGACAACAGAAACTGCCTGGCACAGGCCGTGACTGGATGGTTTCAGAAACTGCCTGGCAACAAGAGCCTGCCTGGCAACAGGTTGTGATTGGATGGCTTTTGAAACTGCCTGACAACAGGCTGTGATTTGTTGGGGCATAGACCTCCCTTTGACTGGATTGGTTGGTCTTGACTATATAAGCTGTTGTACTAACTCAAATACTAATGAGTCTGCAGGCTGCTTGCCTCAACTCCCGGGTTCTGTGTGGTGACTCTGCGCCTCTTGCCCCCACCACGCTCCTCCTCTCAGAAATGAATCCACTGCAACAACATTGAGAAATCAACTGCAACATAGGTAAAGTTACAGTGAGAGGGGAGAGAGACAGAGACAAAGGTCTTCCTTCTGTTGGTTCACTCCCCAAATGGCTGCAATGGCTGGAGCTGCGCCGATCCAAAGCCAGGAGTCAGGTGCCGCCTCCTGATCTCCCACAAAGGTGCAGGGGTCTAAGCCCTTAGGCCATCTTCTACTGCTTTCCCAGGCCATAGCGGAGAGCTGGATCAGAAGAGGAGCAGCTGGGACTAGAACCAGTGCCCATGTGAGATGCTGGCGCAACAGGCGGAGGATTAACCCACTGCAACACGGTGCCGGCCCCTCATGCTGGCTTTGAACGTGGCTGGTTTATTTCTCTCTGGATGTCATCACTCCATCTCTTGTGTACTAAAACCTAAAAATGATGCATCTTAATACTTTTTTCTAGTTAAAAACCGTCTAGGCCAGCACCGCACCGCGGCTCACTTGGCTAATCCTCCGCCTACGGCGCCAGCACCCAGCACCCTGGGTTCTAGTCCCGGTTGGGGCACCAGGTACTAGTCCTGGTTGCTCCTCTTCCAGTCCAGCTCTCTGCTGTGGCCCCAGGAAGGCAGTGGAGGATGGCCCAAGTGCTTGGGTCCTGCACCCACATTGGAGACCGGGAGGAAGCACCTGGCTCCTGGTTTTGTATCGGCGCAGCGTCAGCCGTGGCACCCATTAGGGGAGTGAACCAAAGGAAGGAAGACCTTTCTCTCTGTCTCTCTCTCACTGTCTATAACTCTACCTGTCAAAAAATTGAAAAAAGAAAAAGTCTATTGCTGTGGGTGTTTGATGTGTGCCCCCAATCTGGAAATCCAGGAAGCGGTATTACACTATTTCTAAAATCCCCCCACCTCCCTCCGTCCCCCAGTTTCTCTGCTTTTTTCTTTTTCTCTTGTCTTCTGCAATGCCTGGCCTTCAGCTGTTGGGCCTGCTGGATCGAGGCCTAATTTCCTTCACTTTGTCTGATCCGATCTTCTGGGAGACTTCCTTTACTTTTCCTGACACTCCTTACGTTGAATTGGCTGTTGATGATCCATCTCCGTAGGTGTTGTTTTCTCTCTAAATCTATCCCTCTTTACTCGCTGGAGGTATTCGTCCTACCTTAAGGACTGTTTTCTTCTCTCCTGACATTGTCTTCAGCACTTCCCATGTGATTTGTTTTGTCTGTTCTGCCTGCTTGGTGATCCTCTCAAGTGCTCTGAATTGGAGCCTTGGGGCCAGCATTGTGGCACAGTGGGTTAACGCCCCAGCCTGCAGTGCCGGCATCCCATATGGGTGCCGGTTTGACTCCCAGCTGCTCCACTTCCTGTCCAGCTCTCTGCTGTGGCCTGGGAAAGCAGTAGAAGATGGCCCAAGTCCTTGGGCCCCTGCACCCACATGGGAGACCTGGAAGAAGCTCCTGGCTCCTGGCTTTGGATCAGCTCCACTCTGGCCATTGTGGTCATTTGGGAAGTGAACCAGCAGATGGAAGACTTGGCTCTCTCTCTCTCCATAATTTTGTCTTTCAAATAAATAAAATAAAATAAAAATCAATGGAGAATTGGGGCCCTGAGTATGTGCCTGACCAGCGAGATGGGGGGTCTACAGGACCCGGTATTTGGGGCCTGCCAGCATCAGTCTACACTGTCTGCAGAGTGCTTCGCGCAGAGAGGAGAAAGCTGCTTCCCAGGTTCCCAGGGCTGTGCAGGGAGCCAGGGCCAAGTGTCTCCCCTGACCAGTGCCCATGTCCAGCGTGGTGGCTGTGCCTGCAGCTCCCACATCCGCAGGCCTGGGACTTGGCCTCTGCAGGAGCAAGCATCATCTCCCGTCAGGTAGGGCCCTGAGGCCACTTGGCAGCAGATGGAGCGTATGGAGACCTGGTTGCCTAGCAGGCTGCCTGGTGACAGCCCCTGTTTTCGTGTTCTCCCAAGGGTTTCGATGTCCCCAGATCCCGAGCTTTCCCAGAACTGTCAGGTGCATTTGAGCTTCCTGCTGAGGAGTCGGGGCCCCGCTCTTGCCGCTCTGCCAAGCCAGGGGGTGCTGGGTGCCCCTCCTGCCTCCCAGCTTCCTCGATGCCGTTGTTCTGCTGATCTCTTTGTCCTTTAGGGATAATGCTTTTGTCATCCATTTGCTGTCATTTTAGTGGGGTTTGGGGCAGGAGCAGAGGTTAATGCACATGTTCAATCTACTGCGTTTAACCAGAAGTCCACGAGAGATTAAGGACATCAGTGCCCGGAGGTGAGGTGGGCAGTTGAGGGGCTCAAAAGAAAATGACCACATTAGGAAAGGCGTTTAAACTTGTCCTAATGCACGTCTGATATTACTGTAAGTGTGTGTGTGCGTGTGTGTGCGTGTGTGTGTGTGTGTGTTACGAGGTGGGAGAAAGGGTGGTCACACAATGGTAATTTTTTATCTCCGGTGGTGAAGTTTTAGATGCAATTTATTTGCTTTTTGATGAATGTCTGGAGAAGAGGAAATTGCAAGGGGCAGAGACCACTTTGCCATGACTGCGGGTGAAGCGAGCGCAGCTGTAGGGAAACACAAAGTGCCCCCCAGGGGCAGCTGCCTCC